CATTGTTTTCAAATTTGGTGGCTAAGCTTTGGAGATTTTATGATATCTTTTTCAATATTAAAGCGGCTTATAGTGTCTTTGTTTATATCTGTTTTCATTATATTCTTTATAATTTAGCTAATAATTAAACATATAATTTAGTCAAGTTTGTTCTTGTAGTGGCTTTATTTATATCTTCTTTCATTATATTGTTTGTAATTTAGCTAATAGTTAAACATATAGTTTAGTCAAGTTAGTTCTTTTACGTTGTAATAACTCATTTTTTAGTGAAACCTTACTCTATCTTTTGTCTTAGTTTATTTTACATGGTTGCACACACAGGAAAAAAAAACTTAAAAATTATTCTAATTATGTGACAAAAAAATTGGATGTTCATATAAGAGTCTCTAAATATGTGTGTATATATCTAATTTAAATTTAAAATTTCCTATTTTAATATTGTTTATTTTAGGTTTTAATTATTAATATCAATTTTATATATAATTTTTTTACTTTTAATAATTTTTAAAAAAATAATAGAATTTGGAAAATTTTCAATTTTCAATGTTGAGGTGGACCAATAAATGTTTTTATAAGACCAATAAACTTTTTTAATTTCCTTTTTCAGCAATAATATTACAATTTGTAAATTTTCCTTAATTTTGAATGTTGATGTGGACCAATAAAATTGATTTTTTAAATCCTATGTGGATACATTCTTAATTTCCTTTTTTCAGCAATAATATTACAATTTGTAAATTTTTCTTATATTTGAATGTTGATGTGGACCAATTAATTTGATTTCTTAAATCCTATGTGGACACCTTTAGAAGCATTTAGCTTCAACTTTTATTAGTACTAGATTTTGCATCCACGCTACGCGTAGGTATTTTGTTGATAAAAAATTACATATAATTATTTATATTTACTATGATATAAATTTTATATATTAGTATTTTGATAATATATTAAAAATATTATGATATTAATATAATAATTTTAATGTAAATTGTGATTTTTAACGATTTTGTGTTGAATCTATATATGTCATATTTCAAAAATGTGTTATTTTATCAAATACTTATAAGTTAATATACTCAAACTAACTAAATTTTTTACAAATTAATCAAATGATACTTTTTAAACATAGTATTGACATGATGATAAAATATTATATATTTACTTCTTTAAATTAAGAAGAAAAAATGGGTTTTTATCATTTTTACTTTTATTTTAATTATATATCTGTTATTTTAAAAAAAATTAATTTTTTTTTATCTGCTCTTGTTTAACCAATACAAAAAATTTATTTTGATTTATTAATTTAAAAACAAACTAATGAATAAAAAATATTTACTTTGAGATTAATAACAACTTTAGTTTTGAAACCAAAATAATAGTCGAATATGATATGAATAAAATCACACAAAATATGTGAATTAAATATATTTTTGTCAATTGGTTGTGTTAAATTTTAAATAATTTTTAATGATTATACATCATCTCTTCTAATAAAAATGAAATTTTTTTTATCATGTTCATTTTTATTCTTGTTATATATGTTTTTTTCAATCTTATTTATATATTTTAATGATTTTTGTATGATTATATTCAGTTTCATTATATTCATTCTCACTTTTTCTAATTATAATTAAGTAGGAAAACCGGTACAATTTAATAAATACAAATATAGAAAAATTAATTAAAAATGAAAAACTAAAAACTAAGAATTTCTATTAATCTATTGCAATTACAAATCGAATATACAAAATGTATTTTTATTTATTTTTGCATAATATATTACATGAGGTTATGTGAAAATATGTTTTGCATATGTAACAAAAGTTTAGATCAATATAAATCATAGTTATTTTTTATTTAAAATTTTACGTGAAAAATTTTAAAATTAAATAACTTAATCTTGTATAAGTAGGATATATTTTTATTATAGACAACAAATTAAATTTGTAACTACAGTGATATTGAAGATTTTAATATCAGGTTGTTTTTTGTTAATAGAAATTTCTTTAGTTTTTAATTTATATTCTTAACAATAATATTAGAATTAAGAAACTTTTTTTTTTAATTTACAATTTTGATATATACGAATAAAATTGAATTTTTAAATGCTGATGCGGATGCCTTGAAAATAATATAACTTTAACTGTTATTAATAATAGAAAAATTTGTTAACAATATTATTTTAAATTTTTTTCTATAAATATATTTTTTGTTAACAATATAATTTTAAAATGTGAAATTTTTAAAATTTTAAATATTGATGTGGACCAATAAAATTGAACTTTTAAATCCTATGTGGACATTTTAGAGACATATAACTTTAACTTTTATTAGTAATAGATTTAGAAATCAAAGCTAGAAGATCCCACACGAGGCCCGTTGCGGTAAGTGATATTAGTCTACCCACTTGTTTTGAAACTTACCTAATGTATTCGGATATTGCTTGGTCAGCTAATTGTAACCTTTGTGGTTCAAGTTGGGTTGTTAAAACTCCGTTATATGCAATGTTATTCCAAAAATCTTTTTCGGATACCTTAGTTTCCTTCGCCTTAATGACGGAACCTCTTACTCTATTTTCAGTGCTTCATTTTTTAAAAGAGTTGAGTATCAATCACTTTACACGTTTCTCAGATTGCTAGTAATTTATCATTCTTCTCAAATTCAATGGTTAAACTTTAGAAATTTTATGGTCTCTTTTGGAATTTTAAAGCAGCTTGTAGTAGCTTTGTTTATATCTCCTTTCATCATATTTTTTGTAATTTAGCTAATATTTAAACAGATAGTTTAGTCAAATTTGTTATTTTACGTTGTAATAACTCATTCTTTAGTGCAACATAACTCTATATTATTGTTTTTTTTAATTGAAATGGTTGCACAAAAAAAAAAAAACTTAAATTTTATTATAGTATGTGACAAAAATTTGATTGCTAATGTAAGAGCTCCTAAATATGTGTGCATACATCTAATTTCAATTCAAGATTTTCATATTTTCCTACTTTAATATTGAAAATAGTATACCTTTAAATGTTATTAAGAATTTTAATAAACAATTTTTTCTTATATTGTTTTGTATTAACAATGTAATTTTATAATTTAGAAATTTTTTTAATTTTAGTTATTAATGTAAACTAATAAAATTGACCTTTTAAATCTTATGTGGATGTCATTAGATGCATATAGCTTCAACTTTTATTTTTCTATAAATATAATTTTTTGTTAACAATAGAATTTTTTAAAAATTTAATTTTAAATATTGATGTGGACCAATAGAATTGAACTTTTAAATCTTATGTAGATATTCTTAGAGGCATATAGCTTTAACTTTTCTTAGTAATAGGATTTAGAAGCCTCCTTGTTTCGAGGCTTACCGAATGTATTCGGATGCTGCTTGGTCAGCTAATTGTTACCTTTTTGGTTTAAAGTTAGGTTCTTAAAACCCCATCAAATGTCATGTTATTTCAAAAATTGGATACATCAATCTCAATCGTCTTAATAATGGAACTTCTTTCTCTATTTTATGTGCTTCGTTTTTCAAAAGTGTCGAGTATCAATCACTTGACATGTTTCTCGGATTGCTTGGAATTTATCATTCTTCTCAAATTTGGTGGCCAAGCTTTGGAGATTTTACGATCTCTTTTTCAATATTAAAGCATCTTGTAGTGGCTTTTTTTTTTTCCTTTCAATATATTTTTTGTAATCTAGCTAATAGTTAAACATATAGTTTAGTCAAGTTGGTTCTTTTATGCTGTAATGACTCATTTTTTAGTGAAACTTAACTCTGTTTTTTTTTGATACTGTTGCACACACACAAATGTTTTTTTCAAAATTGTTATATGTGACAAAAAATTGGATGTTAATGCAAGAGTCTCTAAATATGTGTATACATCTAATTTAAATTTAAAAATTTCCTATTTGAATATTATTTATTTTAGTTTTTCATTATTAATATAAATTATATATAATTTATTGATCTTTAATAATTTTTTAAATAAAAATTATAGAATTTGTAAACTTTTTAATTTTCAATGTTGAAGTGGACCCCTAAATAATATTACAATTTGTAAACTTTCTTAATTTCCTTATTCAACAATAATATGAAAAATTGTAATTTTTCCTTATTTTTGAATGTTGATGTGGACCAATAGAATTGAAATTTTAAATCATATGTGGACGCTATTAAAAATTGTAAATTTTCCTTATTTTTGAATGTTGATGTGGACCAATAGAATTGAAATTTTAAATCCTATGTGGATGTCAGTTTAGTCAATTTGGTTCTTTTATGCTGTAATGACTCATTTTTTAGTGAAACTTAACTCTATTTTTTTTTTTTTTGATACGGTTGCACACATAGAAATTTTTTTTGTTTCAAAATTGTTATATGTGACAAAAAATTGGATGTTAATGCAAGAGTCTCTAAATATGTGTATACATCTAATTTAAAATTAAAAATTTCCTATTTGAATATTATTTATTTTAGTTTTTCATTATTAATATAAATTATATATAATTTATTTATCTTTAATAATTTTTTAAATAAAAATTATAGAATTTGTAAACTTTTTAATTTTCAATGTTGAAGTGGACCTAAATAATATTACAATTTGTAAATTTTCTTAATTTCTTTATTCAACAATAATATTAAAAATTGTTAATTTTTCTTATTTTTGAGTGTTGATGTGGACCAATAGAATTGAAATTTTAAATCATATGTGGACACTATTAAAAATTGTAGATTTTTCTTAATTTTAAATTTAAATGCTGATGTGGATTAATAGAATTAAACTTTTAAATTCTATGTGGACATCCTTATAAGTATTTAGTTTCAACTTTTATTAGTTTATATATATATATATATATATAAAAGATAAGATTTAGTTGTTCTATATTTTTTATTTTTTTTTACTTCTATTTATTATAATGTGTAAATATATTTTTTTAATATAATAAAATTTTAAATATTTTTGAAGAAATGAAGAAATGCCGAAACTAGCAACTTGCGAGGCATTTTGAAGAAAGGATCGAATTGTCCTGACAGAAGAAGAAATCTCATCAGAATCCAGTGTTTGTAGAGTCCGAAAGCTCAAAGCCCTCTTTTGAAAATCATCTTGGAATTCAAAATTTTCTAGGGTTTCTCTCTCTGTGATCCAATCTTGGGAAACCGAATGAACTCTTTACCGTCGACGGCGAATTCCGACAACGGCCGCCACGAAAACGGCGAGACGAGCACCGGAGATGCTCGAGATCGAGATCTGATGTTAAATTTCTTAGGCAAGGTTCGTCTCTCCGCTACTACGCGTGGTGATGCAAAGGAGGAAGATGAAGGCGAGGAATCGCCGACGGAGCTTAACACGATTAATAGCGCAGGCGGGTTTTTGATTGTCTCTCCCGATAAGCTTTCCGTCAAGTACACGAATACGAACCTTCACGGTCACGACGTAGGCGTTGTTCAGGCTAATAAACCTGCTCCGTTCAAGTGTCTCACTTACTACTTCGAGATTTTTGTCAAGGATGCTGGCTCTAAAGGGCAAGTCGCTATTGGTTTCACTAAGGAGAGCTTCAAAATGCGGAGACAGCCCGGGTACAGTTTTCGGATCCCAGCTTCTTGGATGAGATTGTGTTCTTTCTGTACGAGTGGTTGTGAGAAGTTAATGTTAAAAACCAAAATGTCGTGAGAGAAGCTTTACCTGCATAGTTTTAGCTCGTAGTTTGATCATTGTTGCATTTAAGTTAAGATTTAGCTTCTTGGATGAGGTTGTTCTGTAGGAGTGGTTTTGGAAATAATCCGAATTAAAAAGGCTTAAATTTTTGCCTCAGTTGAAAACTAGACTCTTGATTAGTTACGAAAAAGGATGCCTTTGATAAAATGGAGAAATTCAAAATGAGGAGATAGCGGGTACGGTTTTTTGGATCCAAATCAAGAGATTTAGCCTCTTGGATGAGATTGTGTTCTTTCTGCTGAATTCCGCTCTGTAGGAATTGTTTTGAGAAGGTAACGTTAAGCTTGAACCAAATCGTATCGGAGTTTTATCTTAAAGATTAGCTCCTTGGGATCAAGTTGTTCTGTAGGAAGGGTTTTAGAAAGAATCCGAACTGAAAAGAGTTGGCTTTGTTGCTCAATTGAAAACTAGATTCTTGATTAGCTACGAAAAAGGTGCCTTTGATAGAATGAAGCTTATGCCTCTTTGCTTTTAGCATGGATCATTGTTGCATTTAAGGTTTAGCATAGAATTTGAGCTTCTGTGGCAGTCATTAGGATGATGGTCTAATTTGTTATTTCTTTTGTAATGGTAGATGGGAAGTGAATAGCTGTGGCTACCATGGGGATGATGGACATCTATATCGAGGAAAGGGAACGGGTGAAGCCTTTGGTCCAACTTTTACTAAAGGTGATACTGTTGGCGGTGGTATAAACTACGCTTCGCAGGAGTTCTTTTTCACGTAAGAAACAACCGTTTCATGTATTTTGCTACTGGAAAATGTATTCATGAATCCGTCCATTTCTTTGCTGCCTTTTGATTTCCTCTGTTGGCTTAGGCTTTGTTTGTTGAGTCTCGTGAATTCTTTGATGCCAGTAAAAACGGAGCTCTTGTGGGGAAAATCCCTAAGGACATAAAGGGTGATCTCTTCCCCACTGTAGCTGTACATAGCCAAAATGAGGAGTATGTTCTCAGTTTCTCTTTCATGATCAATACCTATATTATCATGTATCTCCTTTGTAGGCTGCTTGCATGTTTAGTTAAAGTCTCACATCAAATTTATATAAACAGGTTTAGTAGAAGTACTTACACAGTGCATTTCTTCTGATTTTTTTGCAGGGTCTCTGTCAATTTTGGGAGGAATAAGTTTGCTTTCGATGTTAAGGTAAGAGAAAAATCCTCTAAAAGGAATTATATATTAGTTGAGTCGGTAGATCTTAGTTTTATATTGAAGTGGGGATGGTGTAATCAGGAGTACAGCTATTGAAAGAACATAATAGGTATGCATCATCTCCATTGTTGGTACTGGGTTTACTAAATCTATGGCAGTGGTTCTCTTGGTACTCATTGCGCTTATATTTTACGTGCATCCTCTGCTGGTCCTGTATGATTAAACTTTAACCACTGTGAGCCTCCAATTATACATTTATATAATCTATAAATACTGAATGAAGAGCGTACACATTACGTCTTTACTTACCTTTCTCTCTCTCTCTCTACATTATGTATATGTTTCAAATTAAGTTTTAACGAGGGATGTTACCCTCTTTCTGTATTATTAGGGATATGAAGCATCAGAGAGGAATAAGCAACAAATTGCTATCGAGAAAATATCCATACCTCCAAACATTGGTTATGGGTAAGTATATTTCTTCCCAGCAGTTAGAGATCATGTACTTTGTTAATCGAGTTGCAACTCTTGTTCTTCCTACTGGACACTGAATTGGTGACAAGCTTGCTGCTTTATCTAAAATATTATTTTCTTTATCGTTAGGCTTGTGAAGACCTACTTGCTACACTATGGGTATGAGGAGACACTTAATGCTTTCGACCTTGCTACTAAAACTACAGTTCCTCCAATTCATATAGCTCAAGAGGATGCTATTGATGAGGATGATTCATCATATGATTTGCATCATAGAAAGACTCTTAGAGAGGTATAAAACTTGTTCTGCTGTGCATAAATCTCACTGGCTACAGTACCTGATATTCTCTAACTCTACTGCTCTTTAATTATATGGCACTTTTTTTGGTTCCTATTCCAAACCAAACTAAGTTACCTGATTTGTTTGGTTAATTTTGACTGATCCATACTTTCTTCGGTGTAGCTTGTCAGAACTGGTGAGATCAGTGCTGCGCTGGAAGCACTCCGGACTTTGTATCCCCAAATTGTACAGGTGAAGTGAGATTTCCTGTCATATCGTTTGTTTCATATTGCTAGATGATCCACTTTACAGGATTGAGATAAGAACTCTAACCCAGATCTACATTCTACAGGATGATAGATCGGTAGTTTGTTTCCTCCTTCACTGTCAAAGGTTTATTGAACTAGTACGGGTACGCTCTTCATTCCCTATCCATCTAGGTAGAGAGTTTTCTATTGTCCTATTAGAATGAAATTTTTGTAATCAAGGAATCTTGATGGATTTGGTCTTACCACTAGCTGCTTGAACTGTGATGATCTTTAGTGTATAAGACCTGAAACGAAAGAAAAGGAATGCACAGAACCTCCTGTTTCTTTTAGAGTAGAAAGAAATATTACTGTGGAACAATCTATAACACACCGGAAACCATGTTACGTAGATGCCATGTTATTACGCAAAGTATTTCAATAACCTTTGATAAAACTGTGTGCGAAATCGAAAACCTTGATAAAAGATTCATGGGATCTCCTTACCGACTATCACGTCTTTTTAACATGGTTTCCTGGATTGTTCTTTTTTTTTTTCCGTTCACTTTCAAATCTATGGTGTTGGACTAACTCTCTAAGGTCTGAACAACATGGCATAAACAGGACGGAAAACTTGAAAAAGCTGTCAAGTATGGCAGACTCGAGTTAGCTAAATTTGTTGGGTTAACGGGGTTTCAAGATATAGTCGAGGTACCAATGACTCCTTGGACTTTATTCCCTTGTCTCTTTCATGCAATCTGGGGTTCAAATACAGAGAGAGTCTATGTTTTTGATCTCTTATGAACTTGATTTTCTTATTGATTATTCAGGACTGCTTTGCCTTGCTAGTGTATGAAAATCCCGAAGAATCATCAGTCGGGTATTTCCTAAAAGATTCACAGAGGGAACTAGTGGCTGATGCAGTGAATGCAGCGATTCTATCAACAAATCCGAATAACAACAATGTGCAGAGAAGCTGCCACTTGCATTCCCATCTGGAGAAACTGCTCAGACAACTAACTGTGTGCTGTTTGGAAAGGCGGTCACTGAATGGAGACCAAGGCGAGACATTCCGGCTTCACCGTGTTCTTAGCAACAACAGTACAAGAAGATAAAATTGGGTTAGCCGGGCATTCTCTTTTGAAAACTCTGGTTTGTTTGGTTGTTTAAATCATAGGTGGCTTTTGTTCATACCTGTGTGATATTATGTTGAACTTTTCCATTATGTAAAAAAGAAAGTTTAAAAATAAACTGGCAGTTATGTTTCTCCAAATATTAGATGCTTCGGTTCTTTCTGCCTCTCAATCTCTCTAAAGATTCCAAACCATCCAGGGTTTTGCGGGTGGAGAAGATTGAGTGTTTAAGATTCTATATTTGATCAACAGAGGAAATTGAGTAATAGAGGAAATTGACATCGGATTTCTTTGTTTCGACATAAGAAGGCCAGATTGGATTCCCTGGTCCTTGTATTGTACTTTAACTAAGCTCGAGGCTGGATTCAGAAGTTAGGGATCTAGATCTATCCCAACTCTAGAGCCATTTGGCTGTCAGTGATTTGATTTCCTGCTTGGATCTAAAAGTTAGGAGTTGGCGCCTTGGTGGAGGCGGTGGTAGACCTGGAGGATCAAATTTAGGATTGTTGTGAGCCGGAAGCAAAAGCCTACACCTCAGGTCTAACTATGGAAATGATTACAAAAGGATTGTCTCAGTGTGATATCCCTCGCTCAGAATAGAATACACCCTTTTATCAATTGGTCTTTTGTCTATGTAAGAAAGCAGCTGGGTTTGAACCACTTCATCAGTATCTGGATGATCCTAACAATGATCTTGAGCTCGATCAACTTCATCTTTTGACTTGGTATTCTCCATCATTTTGTCTCTTCCAAGCTTGGCTTTTTTTTTTTTTTTTTTTTTTTTTTTCTTACTCCACAGATTTCTATCTATAACTTTTGAACTAGGTTTCGTTTGGACCAAATCCTGAAACGTTTAGATGGACATGTATGGGCTGAACTTGGATATAATGTTTGTTTATTTGAACTGAATTAGTGCCAAATCCATTGATTGATCATATAAGGATACAAGTTTATCTTATCTTATTACTAGACTAGTGTTAGCTCTGGAATGTCAGATCCATCTACAATTGAATTCAATTTATTCTCTAAATACATATATTAGATTCAATAATTTCAGAAACACGAATCGCATAACTAAGATTCCACAGTTTGAAGACAAAATTTACTTTGAATCCTGGATGATTTGACGAACAAGACGCTAGAAGAAGACAAGAATCGTTACTCTGATTTGATGAAGACCGGTGGTGAGACAAGAAAGCAGCCGATCTGAGTGATCCATTAGGGCGACAGATCAGCTTGGATGCATCCGCAAAGAGGCTGCCTCTCTGTCACACGATAAAGCTGTGTTCTTCGCCTGGAAAGGAAAAAAATGATAAATCTGGGCGGCATTAAGAAAATAGTAACGGTGAAAATGATGGCGCAACGGTTAAGAAAAGAAAAATAGGAAACATAATTTTTTTTATTATTACTCGGAAAGTTCCATAAGTAAAGACAAACAGAGCATAAACAGAACTAAAGTTTTCTTAAAACCAAAAAACAATTACCATCTTACACAGAGGTAAGAGGTTTCTCTTCTCGAATCAGAACCCTCAGCCATTTCGGTTCCCCTCTGGCCTCATACTATTGCCATCGGTTTTCAGTCGTAACACTTTTTGCGAATTGATCCGCACAGCGATTACTTTTGCTCAATTCCAAGGACCATCTCCAATCACCAATACCTTTTAAAGCTTCGTGGATATTCATAGTGCATCCTCTATAAGCCGGTCACGCATTTGGCCGTTGAATAGCGCCAACCATATCTGAGGCATCCGAGGCAAAGGTCACCTTATTAATCCTTAAGCTGCACATACTTTCTATAGCCCAGAGTAAGCTTTTTTCTTTTGCTTCCACGAGGTTCCCAATGTTCCTACAGGCTCTTCTGCCATGTATTTGTACTTCCCCTTTATTATTTCTTACGATCCACGCTGCTCCACTCAAGTTCTTTCTTCTAGACCACGCAAACCCAATGTTACACTTCAGATCATCAGCCTCTGGAGCTTCCCACTTTGTACGATGTTGGACCTGTGTAGTGGGCCTAGTGGCTGAGAATGCTCCATTACCCATAGTATATTGTACCTGAAACCATTGGTTGACATCCTCTCAGACTATTTCTGCAGTTTCTAAGGTCGTGAAGCTTTTCCCTTCAAAATAGAACAAATTTCTGTTTTTCCACAGTTGCCACAAAATCCATGGAAAACATCTCCTCATCTCCTCCGAGATCTCTTTCTTTGAAAACATAAATTTATAAACGAAGAAAATATTCCAATACTGGCGAAAAAAAAAGTCCAATACTGATTAGTTTGAGATTGATTGAAAGTCACTTATGTCTGTATTACATCTTACACTTTTTTTTGGTAAAGACATTTTTTTTTAGTAAAGACACTTTCGTCTATATTACATGTTACACATAGAATATAGACATATAGTAACCAAGTTTAGATTTTGGTAGTTGAGTTATATATAAATTATTTATTGGTTCTACAATGTAATTATCTTTTGTCTCTGCATCAAAACATTTCTTCTTTTTTTTTGAAAAAAATTGTTTGTAAACTGTTTTATATTGATAAACTTTGGGATAATATTTCATTTTAAAATGTATTTTATTTTACATTCAAATTTAACTCTGAAAATATATATATAGTAATTCGATTACTTTGGATTTTCTTAAATATAGGTTAAGTACTTAGATAAAATCATAAAAATCATTTGTTATAAAATAGTTTAAAAAATAAATCTAGCTTAAGAGAAATTGAGAATTTTGAAATTTGAACTTCACATGCTTTATAAAAACCGAATTTGGAACAGCAAAATTGATGAATTTTACCAAATCTTGTGTGATCAATGATTAGTATTAGATAATCTATAGATTTGACATGAAAATTGCTCAACTAAACCAATTTTTAGAAAATTTCTGTGTCAAGGACATCAAAAATCCGAATCTGGTCATGAACTATTCGATTTTTCGGTTTAGTATCAATTATGCTTGCTTGTTGTTTTAACCAATCTCTTGATACTGTGATTAATATCACTGCTCGCTCTATCCGTACTAATCATTTTCTTGCTTTGTTTTTAAATTTCAAGTACTTTTAAAAATTTAATATGTAACCTATTCGAATTTTCGTATTTTTCAATAATGTTTGACACAAAACTGTGATGATTTAGACCTGCACGCTCCTACAAATGATAGCTCATTTGTGGTTAGCACTAGACTAGGCGGTAGTTAAAGTACTTGCACTACGAATTCTCACTAGAGGACTTCTATTCATGGAGATTCATTCTGACAGGATATACTAGCTCATTATATTTGACCTCAATATTGATATATAATTTTCTCATCATTGATTATAGGCAGGCATCAAGATATACATCTAGGACGTCTTTTACCCTCATTTTTATCACTCTTTGTCGTCCTAGATGACTAGTTCATCTTTATCTGGTACCATACCTTAAACCCAAATCCCTTGTTTTCAAACCTCATGCATTCTCTTTTTAGTTTATATCAGCAGATATGTGCACAAACATCAGAGAGAAGAGGAACGACGCAGTTTTCAGTCACTCAAGAGAAAGACTGAATGGAATTGGGAAGGAAGAGTATCATAAACCTTATCAAGCTTTATATAGCCTTGGAGAACTCATTCTTATTGGTAATTTCGTACTCTCTATGGCTCTATATCTAAAGGTGTTTCCTCTTTCTAAAAAAAAAAAAAAATTAATGAAAGGAAAGGAAACAAAAAGCCTAATGAGTCCTAGATTATCGAAATTATTTGGAGCAAAAGCAACCACTATTCATCTAAAGAGCTATGGTTTTGAAAGATTAACTAAAATCTAAGTCTGGGGGAGTTAGGAGAGAACCTGAGGAAGAAGACCAGAAATCTATGGCAAGAAGAAAGTGACTGAAAACTGTAGATATCAACAGTTTCACTCTCTCTTGCGGTTTTGCATAATATATTGCATACTCCAGATTCTGAGGTAACCCATAAACACTTTAAGCCTTACCCCTAGAATGACCCCTTTTTATACCTAGCCTAAATTGCCTCGCTTATACTTTCTTTGATGAGAACCACCGAAAATTTCAATGAATGTTAAGAGCTAGTTGAATGGAAGTTAGATCTCAGTGCAATAGGTTTCCGCATGACGGATTAACAGACTAGTTATGCCCGTATTTTTAGTGAGAATTTTCTAGGCTATTCTTGATTGATGCATAATGATTGATATTAGTTTAGAAGCTTGGTCTCTGAGATTTTGTTAGTTCATGCGTTTTCAAACCTCTCACCAAGATTATGCCTTTGTTTTGTTTGAGGACAAACAAAAGTCTAAGTCTAGGGGAGTTAATTACACCAGATTTTGACTATTTTATGGATCACTTTAATGTCTTTTACAGGTGTTTTTACTCAATTTTCAAAGGTTTTCAAAGGATTTCTATGTTTTCGAATTTTAAAAGATTTTTCATGTAATTTGGGATGAAAAAGCGCAAATTGGAATAAAAAGACTCTTTTGGATAAATGCAGACCTTCAGAACTCTCATGGAGAGACAAAAACCTTCTCACCGTCTTATCACCCTCAAAATTGGACAACTTATAGAAGACTCAACCAGCTTTCAAATGCACTTGGTTTGGAGATATTCCAACGGTTGGATCTCAAGATATTTTATTTGCCCCGGAGACACTCAAAGATGGCCAGTAAGTCACGCGACCGCGGCCAACAACCCATCCACCGCGGCCAAGACAACGCGACCGCGGCCAAGCCTTCATCTACCACGGTCGCAACACACGCGACCACGGCCAAGCATCTCTGACCTAAAAAACCCATTTCTGAAGCCCAAGTCATTTCCCAGCCTCAATTCCGGAACCCTAGAGACCATAGAGTACTGAAGACTATAAAATACTTGTTATTTAGGTCATTTTTAGACATCACCCTACCTGCGGCAAGATCGTGAGTACTGACGAGTCATGTACAGCTCTTGTGTTCTCTCCCTTCCAAGGCCAAAGTGGAAACCTACTGGTCAGGGTTCGAGAAACAGTTGGTTATGATCACGGCGGTGACATAGTCATACCGCCGAACTCTAGCTCTAGAACCCTATATTTCGATATCCGTCAATCCCAATCTATAACTCCTAGTGTTGAAACCGATTATGATCCCTAGAGTTCCCGAGAGCTCAGCGTTTTTAGCATTAGATTACAAACAAATCGATTTTTATTTGCTCTTTTAGATCTGCATTTTATTTCCCTTAGTTCGATATTCTTCTTGTTTCATTTGCTTTCATTCGATTTTCTACTTGCTTTTTAGGATATATTTATTTGCTTTCTTTAGTTTTAGTTTAATCCGTGACAAACAACCAACCCCTAAAACCAATCTAGTCTAGACATAAATTTAGAAACCGTAGAAGAATACCAGACACACAAATCTCTGTGGATTCAATCCCTAAGTACTACAACTGATTAGCTGTGCACTTGCAGCTTTCATTTGTTTTTATTAAGGGTAAAACTTGTTTCCTCACGCAGTAGACACATCAGCTGCGGTCACAAGTACGCGGCCGTGGTCGAAGTGGGCTTGGCCACGGTCCGAACTCCTGCAACTGCGGGAACTTAAATGCGGCCTGTTTCCTGCTTCTCCTTGGTTTCTTCTAGGCCGAGCAGTCAGGGACCATCCTTCTTTTTGGTTTTTTCGGTTTTTTTGTTTTTTTTGGCTTTGTTTTTGATTTATTAGAAACATCTGAAACTAAGAAAAAGAAAAAAGATCAATAGAAAAAGAAAGAAAAATCCTAAAGAAAACAATACCTAAATGGATTGCCCCCCATTAAGCGCTTCTGTTTTAAGTCGTTTAGCTCGAGTTTGGTGTAGGACGTGACTTAGTCCAATGAAGAAGACCTTGTCCTAAGACAAGTATTTTTCAAAATCTCCTTGTTTTTCCTAGCAGGTTCTTCGTCACTCCAAAGTTCTGCTTCAAATTCTCCTGCTGCAGGTCGTTGTCCTGCTTTGCTGTTGTATGAGACAGCTTCTGTGAAGACATCTTTGTCGATATTAGCAAATGAAATCCTCCAGTTTGGCCAGTCCATGATGGCTCTGAAAGTTGCTAGAAAGGACAATCCGATAATCACTGGATGTGTTGCGTCTCTTGTTTCGACAATGTAGAAGTCGACAGACACAATGCAATCTCTGATTCTCAAGGGAATGTCATGGGATATTCTTGTAGGTATTGCATTGGAATCATCAGCTAGACTAATCTTCGCCCTAGTCCTGTGCAGGTGCTTAATACCAAGTCTCAAAGCAATTGCGTTGGACATCATGTTAAGACAAGCTCAAGAATCACATAGCACATTGTTAAACATTTCACCTCTAATCGAACAAAAGATGAGAAACTGACCTTGACCTTCGATTTTGTGAAGTTTTCGAACAGGTCTACCTCTTCTGGCATGATTGAACAAGTCTTATATTTCAGGAATGGATTCCTTGCTCTCACAGAAGTAATGGTATATCATGAAGTCTTTGCAAGCTCTGGCAAAGGTGATTCCTTCAGGTAAGTTTCGAACTACATCATTGAACTCATCAAGCTTTTATTTGCTGATCTTGTTGGTGTAGTAACTGCATTCTTCAGGTATTTTAAGGTAAATTGCATAGACAGCTGCCTCGGGTGATGTTAGGTATCGAGCTCGCATAAAGTATTTATGGATATCCTCTTTAGACTACTTACAATATCTGAAAAAGACCTGCAAGCAATGAAGCTTCCAGACATCATTAAAGCTTAGGTGAGCAGGGAGTGCTTTGACGAAGCTGTTGAACTCTATGAGTTTCTCCCTACTGATGTTGCTGGTGATCCATTCAACTTCTGCTGTACTGCTTTCTGAGTAGTATCCTGCGTCTAGATCCTCTACGAACAATCCATATTCTTCATCTTCAAAGTATTATTTTTCATACTCATCTTCACAAGACAAGTGATAACACTGTATTTTGACCACTTTTATGGATCGTTTTGAATTACTTTTTCTATGTTTTTTATTGCTTTCAAGTACTTTTATTACGTTTTTCTAGTATTTGTAGTTCCAAGGCTCTTTTCAGGAAATTTAGGGAAAAACTTAACAAAATAGATAAAAGACCAGATTTTCAGCTCAGAGTCAAACCGTCAGAAGTTCACCCCCGATTGAAGGCCTTCTCACCGTCTGATCCAGCTCAAATTTGGAGATCTCAAAGATGGAACTATAAGATTTCCAGCACATTTTACAGCTTGGCAATCCAACGATTCAATCAAAATTTAAAAGAAGAGCAAGATGTCCCGAAAACGAGCTGGCAAGCATTTCCACCCTCGGCCAACAGCCATTTCACCATGGTCAGAGGCTACCCGACTGGGGCCAAGCATCCATTCCCCGCGGCCACGCACTTCCCGACCGCGGCCAGCCAACTCCGAGTTAGAAGGCCCATTTCTGAAGCCCAAATCATTTTCCAAGCCTCAATTCCGGAACCCTAGACACCATGGAGCATTGGAGACTATAAATACTTATCATTTAGGTCGTTTTTACAGAGAGAAGAAGAGAGACGAAATACTTTAGAAAGAAATTTACTTTAAGCTTTTGTTTTCAGGTTTAGAGAGAGAGAGAGAGAGAGATCTATCTCTTGAACTCTTTTTCTTTCTTTTTCAATTTTGATTATTGCTCTACTTTTTAATACTATTTATTTTATTTCGTTCATCATGTCTGAGTAGTTTTATTGTTGGGTCAAAGGGATTTTCGATGGGGATATATATGTTCAATGAGGATTCCATGAGCTATAGAAGTCAAATCTTAGAATTTTTTCTTCTGAATTTACTTTTAATGCATGAGAGTAGCGTCATGAACTACAATCTGATCCAGATGCTTGGTGACACGAAAGTGTTCATCCGGTGTCAGATCTAGTTTGGGAGAGCAAAACAAACATAGGAGTGCAAACCTACCTATGGGCGATTTGTGAATGCTGACGAATCTTAAATATAATGCATCTTTTCTCTTCCAGGGCCAGAGTGGAAACATACTGGTCAGGGTTGAGAGAGATAGTTGTCTATGATCATGACAGTGGCGTATTCATACGTCCATGACTCTAGTTCGAAAAGTTTTAGCTAAGATCTTATCAAATTTACTCTTTAGCAATGTTTTGAATTACTCATACCTCGGAGAAAACTTCCCTGAAACCCAACACCTCTTTTCTATAGATTTACATCGATTTTATTTCAAGCTTTAGTTCATCATTTTCATTCTCTTAATTGATTTTTATTTAAGCAATTAAGTTTAGCCGTTTTTCTCGTTTTTAGTCATTTCATTAAGTTTAGTTATTAGGTCATTTTAATTCTCGCATTTTCTCATTATATAAGCTTAGTTTTTACGTTTTAAAGGCACCACCAAAACCCTTAAAAAATGAGAAAATTGCTGTATAGGTAGTTTTTAAGTTTTAAATTTGAGGAATAGGTAGTTTTCAAAACCAAGGAAGGATAGGGTTGTTTTTACTGTTTGTCTTCCCGCTAGGTCCCTAAGGCAATTTTTTATTTTCAAAATTGCCATTGTCGAAGTAAAATAACTAAAATTTTATGGTAAAATCCGATTTGGTAAACCGATTACACAAAATTATAAACCGAAGTCCAATATCATAAACCGAAGTAAAACCAAATATATAATTTATCGACACCCCAACATTTAAATTAAAAATAAAATTTGGGATCCACATCTGGACGTAGTCCATCTAGCATCTCCGGCAATCCATCTCCGATTAGCCCTCCGGGTGACCGTTGTAACGGCACGGAGAGTTAAAAAATCGTTTAGACGCAATACCGTGCCTCCGGTGTCCAGGCGAGTGCTCCGGAGTAACTCGAAGACAGCTCCGACGGAGCAGTCGCCCATACCGCCCATGCCACTGTGACGGAGTGACCGGGTTGAACATCCCATTCACGCGAGTCGTCTCAATCAACGCTGGCGGTGTAGCTCCAAAGTACAATTCGCTCCTCTTCTTCTAGAATGGCCTGCTCAGAATTCTAAAAGTAAGTTACTTTTATGAACTTCGATCTTGTATGAACTGTACTGGCGGTTTTGTTAACTCAAATTAAGATTGAAACGGGGCGCCTGATTGACCTGATTTATGTATTAGCGGTTATGAACTCTAGTAGTTATGTCTATATATTGAATTCAAATGGTTGGATTACTCTTATATCATCTAGAAACAGTTACAGAAGTTTATATATGAGAGCATACGAATAAGGTAGTTTTTCTAGATTTCTGTTATCTCCTTCGAACTCCTTTCCCTCAAAATTTTCCCCTGGTTTGCATTTAACTGTTTCTCCAGAATATTATATCTTTCCTGTATTTCGGATTTGTTGTTTTGGTTCAAATACAGGAATGGAACACGGAGAAGCTTCAAATACAGGCATGGAAGATGGAGAAGCTTCAAATAACCTTTCGGAAAAACTACCAAAAAGGGTCCTCGGCGATGGTTGCTACCCCATTGGTGCTCGGTTGAACATATATTCAAAGGTCAATGTCATTGGCCTCCTTGTCGAGGCGTTAAAGGGTACTGAAGATCTTGAGAAGCTACTTCATTCCCAGTTTGGGAATTTATTCCATCTACCTGTTGCAAGATGTTGCAACAGCGCCAAACTAGTCCATGCCCTTCTATCACGACAACTTGTGACCATGAAGAAACACGAGATTTGGTTCCTCTTTGGTGGACAGCCTCTGAGATATTCGATACGGGAGTTTAAGGAAATCACTGGATTGAATTGCAATCCCGAACCTGATAGCACAGAAGAAGAAGAAGATGTCGGAAAGACAGGAATCTGGAAAGACCTGTTTGGAAGAGCGACCGCTATGAACGTGTTTGATGTGCTTGAAATGTTAAAGGACCCGGATCTACCCCGATGGAAAAGGCTACCATTGGCCCTAATCGACGGTGTTCTCTTTTGCAATAGCAAAAATCTAGCCCTCACCGAGAAATACGTTGAGATGTTGACTGACTTGGATAGGTTCATGTTGTATCCATGGGGGAGGGTATCCTTTAACAAAACAGTATCTCGTTTTCAAGCTCCGAAGGCAATCACAGATGCCGAGAAAAGGGAGAATCCTTTAACACGATTGCGTCGTCAACTTAAACAGAAAACCAGTGCATGCTACGGATTCCCTCTATCACTACAACTCATGGCCCTCCAATCTATACCAATGTTGGTTTCCAAAATTCCTCAACCTGATACCTTGAAGACTTTCATTGAAGATCCCGAAGGTTTTCAAAACGTTATCACACTATTACATCTTGGGGACATACTTGCCGTGGAATCCGACCCTCTGGTAAATTATTTGTAGTATTATATTTAGTACATTTGTAGTCTTATTTTGTAGTACTTGTCTTATAAGATAAGTACTCTGTGATTGTGTTGGTAATTTTGCAATTGTTTTTTTGTCTTAGTTGTCTGTGAAACAGATAGTAGTGGATGATGGTGACAATGACCAACAGAATGAATTGCGTTGGGGAGATGAGGTAGAGGATGCCGAAGTTGCATTCATGCAGGAATTCATGGCCGAGGGGTACAAATTCACACCTTCGGATTTTGCAGTGGCACCGGCACCTATCGTGGATCTTAGTGATGCAGAGGACGAGGTTACCAATGAACAGGAACCGGAGCCATCCACCCGACCGAAGAAGAAACTGAAAACTCATCAAACTGAAAAACGTAAGATGCAGAGGAAAAGAGGCAGGGGCAAGAACTCTTCTAATCTATCGGAAGATGAAACCCCTGAAAGTGGACAATTTCAGATCTTAAAAGATGGATAGTAAGTCAGAATGAATTGCTCCTTCGTAAGATTAAGACAGAGTTGGACAAGAGATTGGGCGTATACCAACAGGACGAAGAAGATGACGATGTACACCAGTCAAAGAAGATGGGGAACAGGATGACGAAGGACAGAATCGAAAAAAAGGTGGTGAAAAACCGGATGAAGATGAAGACGAAGACGAAGATGGAGGTGAAGAAGGAGGTGATGATGGTGCACAGTCTAGCGTACGCCATGATGATGGTGTACACCCCCAAGGTGGTGTACACCAGAAAGAAAGAGATGATGAAGAAGGGACCTCTACTTACTACGGCGGGGACCATTATTCTCCCAGGGACCATGCGTACTTGAAGACTCCAGAAGCTCCGACGAAGACCTCTGAACCTGAACAAGCCAATTCAGGAACAACTCGTCCACCTACTTACTTCGTCTATCCGGATGAAGATCCACCTTCTGGCCCCAACGAGGTGAGCTAATTGTTTAGTCAGCAGCTGACTCTATTAAGTTTCATAACGGGTGTGTACTATGCAATTTTTTTTTATGACTTATTCAGGTGGATGGTGGTCGAACAAATTTGGGGTCAGTCACCTTAGTAGTCTACAAACCTCAGACTGCTCACCCATTGAGCTACGCATATAAGAAAAATGAAGCGCAGACAGATGCACAGGTCAGACATTAAACTTGTTCATATGATATGCATGTGTATAAAGTATTCTTTAGGTATACGCTAGGTATACGATTGATATGTTATATGCTTTATTGTTACGGTGGTTTGTAGGCTGTGGCTAATGAGGAGGACTCAAATGCGGCGAAAGATTACCATACTACGCCTGAGGATGCAAGTGATGCTTCGCAGAAGACCCCTTCTACTCCAAAACCCCCACAAGAAGTTGAGGGATCGTCTGGTGTAAAGAGAAAAAGTAGAGGAACAGGAAGAGGAGGAAGAGGTAGAGGAAAACGCGCACACATAAAGATTCGAGATATTTACACCGCAGATTCAAAGGTGAAAGCTCTATTTGTATTCAAATCGAAAGCTGCGTACAAACCACTCGAAACAGTGGAACAAGCCAAGTTCAAGGCATTCCAGGAGTTATTATCGCGTGAAAGAAACATGTAAGTTATATCGTATGCAAAGCAATTTATCCTTAAACTTTCATTGTTATCAATTACCAATTGCTCTCATTACAGCGACTTTTGCATTGTCACTGGTCATACTGTGAACAATCAATTCTTCTTACAAATTGCAAAGCCTACTTAGTGGCTTAACACGATGGTAAGTATATAGTTAGTACCTACTGAATCTTTAATTATCTGTATTATCTGTTATTTATTTTTTTGTTATACGTCAGCACATGCAAGTCATAATGGCCATGCTTTGGAGACGTAGAGGTGAAATATACTTGAAAGACAGGATAGCATTTGTAGACACCTTGTTCATATCCATCATCGGCAACTACTACAACGGTTTCATATCTGGAGACAAAAATCAGTAGGACTGGCGGAAAACCATTCAGGGCATTGTATTGGGAAAACCTGCAAAGTGGGCTAATCAGCATCAGAGACAAATGTTTCTACGATTTGTGGACGTTGTCTACGTCCCGATGAACTGGGGGTCTGAGCATTGGGTGGGCCTTGTAATTGACTTTAAAATGGGCAACATAAAGATTTTGGACTCATTCATCAGTCATAATGATGAAGCGGCTGTGGAGCAGTATATGGCGCCCATGTGTCAAAGTATGCCATTTATATTGAAGCGTTATTTGGATAGCAAATTAACGGAAGGCCTACGCACCACCCCTTACACATGGAGTCGTTCGGAGGGCATATATCAGAACGCGAGATCCGGTGACTGTGGTCCATGTGCGGCCAAATACTTAGAGATGCATGCTGCAGGGCTTGGAGTGGAGGATATGGGTTTGATAACGGACGATGACGTTGACAGGTTAAGGGAGAAATACGCCATGGACTCATACGAACAGTTTGTTGGGAATCCGGCTGTTGCCAACGCTTAGGACGAATGCTGAACTTTAATGTTGAACTTGACAGTTTATGAAAGGTGTATTTGTTGGATTATGTGTTTGATAATGTTTAGGATGTGGGTACATTTGATAATTTATATGCTTATACTTTAGTTTACTTTAGTATTTATTAATTGGTGTGTCAATACTTTCTTCCCGGAATAATTTGGTATCCGTACACCAATATGCATTTAGGTGTACATCAAATGCATCAAATGGGTGTACATCAAGAAAAATTTGTTTATACTTTACTTTACTTTTACTATTTATTAATTGGTGTGTGAATACTTTGTTCCCGGATTAATTTGTTATCTATACACCAATATGCATTTAGGTGTACATCAAATGGGTGTACAACAAGAAAATTTTGGTTTAGCCACCAAATTTACAAACTCATTTACAATCTTAACGGTAACCGCATTTAATGTATACACTCAGTTAGTGTGAATTATTAATAATTATATATATGCAACATAAACAACCGTTATCCTCACAAATCCTAAACCGCACTTATTCCATCTCCATAAACAACCGTTTTCTTCACAAATCAACCTCACAAATTAACTATGGCACCAAAGAGAGGGCGATGTGCTGCAGATATCCGTGATTGTCGATCCCCTCTGATGGCGCTACCCGACGAACTATTGGAGAAGGTTCTCGCATACAGTTGCAACTCCGTCCAACAAATTTTCACACTAAAGCAAGTTTGCAAACGGTTCCAGGCCTGCACTTTAACCAATAATTTTCTAGCATCGGTTGATCCCGTGGAATTGGAGATGCCTATTCCTGAAGACTTCGATATGCCTTTTATCGCAAGTTGGGAATTTCCCAACTTGTTGAGGAGGATGTATGACGCACGCAATCTGGGTTTGCTGTTCATGAAGGGGATGCAAGACTACTTCTGCCGTGGAGACAAATGTGGCATAAAACTCATCAAGGAATCTGCAGATATGGGGTACGAAACAGGTGTTTACATGTATGGGATGTACATGAAAGCAGTGGTCGAAGACCCCGTGGGTTTAGAGTATCTTTCAAAACTAGGCAGAGGGGCAATGAGGAGAATAATTCGGAAAATTATTGATGGAGGTGAGCGTGGTTATGTCAGTAATTTGCCTGAAGAATTCTCGAAGAGGAGATTTGAAACTAATGCTCAGTTTGGGAAACTTTGGTCTTGTCGCTGTGGTGTTGCCAATGCTCAACTTGATTGGCATGCTGAATTGTTAAAGGGGTCAAGCATGTGCACGTCGTGTTTTTGGGCACAGGAAACGCAAAAGTTCTTTGTATTTGTTTGGTATGCAGTGAGGTCAGGACCGTCAATGGAAAATAGTGACTAATTGGTGAAACTCAACCAGTTTCAGTGTGTACACCTCGGCGTTGTGTACACCAATATAATTAGCATCTTTTGCTGTTATTTCAGAATTCATCGAATTGATTAGCATCCGCGAATATGTTTTTTGAGGTTATGTAATCGATTTGATTTGATATTTCGTACTTTATGATTTAATCTTTTGTTTAGGATCTGTACATGTACTTATTTACGCCTTCTATGTATGTATGTATACTTTGTTTTCGTTTCTATGTATGTATACTTTAATTTTGTCGACTTTAATTAATTTCGGTGGGTGGTTGTGGCAGTTTTTCGAGAAGCATCTCTTATATCTTTAAAGTCTCAGTTTACCTCTCTATGTACGCCTAATAACTAGAAAATAAAGAACACCTCAATCTGGACTCAATATGTACACCTAAATTTGTACACGTGAATGTTAAAGACATTTATCACATATTATATATTTTGAGTATACAAACGACATTATCTCTTTTGTGGGAATTTTTGGAGAAGATTTGGTATACAAACGACATTATCTATTTAAAGTCTCACCTTACCTATTTATGTATGTATATTTAAAAACTAATTATGATTTCGTCAATGTGGACTCAATCTGTACTCTATATCTCGGTTAACGTGATGTTGAGAAAACTGAAACTGTAATGATGACAAGAAAATATAGTTTCCAAAATATAAAAAGATCTGTGTTATTGAATTTCGATTTAATCATAAATCATAAAAATATTGTGGCATAAATCATAAAAGTATTGTGGTATATCATAAATTAAATTAAATCATAAATCATAAAAGTTTAATGGTGATTTTTGCTTGGATTTGGTTATTCTCTGTATTTATTGTGTTAATTAAATTTTGCCGGCAAACGAAAAGACACATTTTCGTCTCTTTTCAACGTCTCTCTTCAAAGACAGCTATTCGGCTCTATTAAAACCGCACTACCTCTTTAAATTCAATCCCTTCACCATAACATCCTACTTAGAACCATCATAACTTCCTCTTTCCTTCCATTTTCAATCCATTCTCTTCTTCCTCAATCCTTTTTCTTATCTATTCTCTTTCTCTTTTCATCGAAATAAACGATGGTTCCAAGGAGAAATAGAGGTGGTGATGGTGATTTTTCCCATCTTCTCTCACTCCCTGATGAATTGCTGGAAACAATTCTGGCCGTTACAAACCCATCTTTAAGGGAAATAGCCCGCCTTCGTGCTGTATGTTCTCGTTTCAACCGTATCGGCACAAGCAGGGGTTTCTATCAAGCGATTGATCCCGCCCAAATCCTCCATGAACAAGCGGCGGTTCCACATTACCCAACGATGATGAGGAGATTCTATGACGCGGGTAATCTAGGGGTTATTTTCCAGAGGGGGATGCAAGCCTATTTTTTGTTCCACGATGGTGAAGGCATTGAATTGATAAGGGATGCTGCGGAGAGAGGCTACGACCGAGCCATTTTTGTGTACGGGATGTGGCTCAGAGCAGTGCCGGAAGACTTCGTCCGTGCAGAGGAGTATTTGGGCAGGCTCACGGTGCAAAATCGGAGGAGGATGAGCCGGTTGTTGCTGGCCGACGTTCCACACGGATGGAATTTCGATTTGCCAATCGATTTCACTGAGAAAGCGGCTGGCTTTCATCCGAGATTCCTGGCGCTGTACACCTATTAGTGCAGGGCTATCAATTACTGGCTCCAGTGGTTTGCAGAAGATTTTAAGGAGCCAAAGTGCATAACCTGTTTCTGGGCCCAAAGACCCAAAGGTTCTTCCGCTTCATTAGGAACGTCGTTCCAAGCTGGCCGTTGATGCTCGATTGGTGAAAGCCGTAACCTTATGTGTCTTAGTATTTTGTTGCATTTCGTGTCTCTTTAATTATTGATGTTGTCTTAGTATTCCGAACTACAACGGATGCTTTTCATTTGCATGTCTACTTTCGTTTTTTAGTTGCAACTCTTACTTTTCTATAAACATTATCTATCTTAGTAGTTGATTTTATGATACTTATGTTCGTAAATGTAGTAATTAATCATAAAGATGTTTGAAATTTTTTTAAAAATGGAGAATTTAGCCTTTCCCAAAATCGAAATGAAAGTGGTTGGATATCAATTTCATCTCATTGACATTAATTAATTATGTACACTATTCACGTACACCTATGTACGTACACCTACTTACGTATACGTGAGCATAAACAGATTTCAAACATAAAGCTGTTTGAAAATAAAATAACATTACACATTTTTAATTTAAAACTTTGATGAGAGTGGATTGTTAAATAAATAAGTTGTTGGCTATTTTATGATGTAGTTGGACATACGCTTGTTTGAAATGAGAGTGCCTGGATAATTTATCCTTACAAAATTCGAAATGCAATTGGTTGGACACATATTCACATAAATTTTATCTCGTTGACTTTAATTATTTATGTACACCTATTAACGTATACCTATAGACGTACACCTACTTACGTATACGGGATCAGAAACAGATTGGAAACATAAAGCTGTTTGAAATTTTAATAAGATTACAAATTTTTAAAGAACGAAGAATACCTACACCTATTTTTACGTATACGTACACCTATATACGTCCACATACATTGGTATACGGGATCATATACCTTTTCAGACATAAGGTTGTTTGCGACTAAAATAAAATTAGTAATTACTCTTACAAAATTTTTAAACTTCATATTTAGTTTTGTAATATAATTTAATTATTAATACATCTTCATATTTAGTTTTGCAATCACAACAACAATGGGAAATATATTGAAATATAATATTTTTAAAAACAAGCGACAAGCGACCATACCACATCGATACTAAAGCATGTATGCTATGCGATGTGCCGAACATCTAAGATAACATTTTTCACAAGTAACAATATAATGCAAATTATAGTGATCCATTCCGCACGACGCGTCGGTTTCTTCATGAATGAGACTAGGGTACCTGAACTTTTTCTTGTATGTATCTTTATTACGTGGGCAAAATGACCAGAATAAGGATACTATATCTTCGGCCACTTCACGAAGTTCACAAGAATGATGAGGATAGTGGTACCTGAAAACCATCTTTAGAAGTTTTTTCCCTCTGTTAGGGCGACCCACGCACATTTGCAAAATGGCACAGCTGTAA